TCTTACGACTGTGAGAGGTCCATGAGTAAATGGATGGCTACAGAATTGTAATTTCATGGTCTTGTCCGGTCACAAATCAAACATCCAACAACTTGTAGTAGAATATTTAGAAATATATAACGAAGGCACTTCTAAAATTTCTCGAGAACAATAGTATAAGTTGGCAAACTATCATTTTTACTGCATTAGATAGATTAGATAGATTAGGGCATATAAGATTCGCCTCGAGGTGAGCAGAATTTTTTTAACTGATATAGGCACCGCCCAAGGAATATATGGCATATTACGTTTGTCTTTCCCTTTCTAACAACCAGAAATATATTTTCGAAATATCGCAGTGTATACACATTTTCCATCAGTGTAGAACTCTGAGTTGATTTAATTCTGTGTCTCTGTCAGTCTTTGTATCTGTTATGTGCTCTTAGGATGATAACAATGTTGAAAAGAATGGGTGCACTATCTTAATTTTTACTTATAGCTCAACTTTGAAAATTTCCGTTGTTCACAGTCAACCACGCCACCACCACCACATAATGCACATAACAACTACAATCATTAAATTATATCAATTACTGATCTGAGCCTAAGAGTAAACATTTATTATTGAAAGTTTTGTATAAATACGCCTTACCCCAAACAAGAGCCTGTAAGTAGATATTACATCAAAACCTACTGCAAATATCTCGAAAGTTCACCAAGAAAACCAAAGTCGGGTGTCACTTTGGTCTCACACTTTAGGTTAAGAGTAGGTTAAGGTTAGGGCGAGACAGGAGTATTTGATTTCATTCAAAATGCGAGCGATCGGCAACGCTACCGATTCGACAACAGCCAACGTGAATCTCTGATTTTCGATTTCTCTTTCTTCTGACTTTAACTTTCGACCGAAGCAGATGTCTGCTCACCTCCTTTCCTCGTTAGTAATAACTGACACTGTTAAAATGAGTGCATGTAAGTGAATATAGTGCGTATTATAAGACTGAGTAAATAAGGAAAAGAATGAGTGAGAGCCAACGTGTGAATTTATAATAATCTGAAGTGAATACAACAAAGTGTATTATACGGTAGTGTACAAAGGACTGAATTAGTGAGTCCAATTCTAATGCAAATGAACATAGGAAGATAGACTGCCGTTCCAATAAAGAAGTTGTTTTACAAGTACTCTGGTTTACTCATTGAGTGTTAGCCCAGCTGGACAGACAACAAGATAAGATTTTAGCAATTAGATGAAATTTTATGTCGTTACAAAGCATACAAAGCAAAGACGAAACACCTACGAATAAACTAATTGGCGAATCTGCTAAATTAACTTAAGGTTATCAATCTATCAGAATCATTCTAAGGCGGACAACACTTTATAGATTTTTTCATACTAAAATCAATAAGAAAACGCAACTAGAATGTGAAAAGTAACTTATGCGATCACATAGCCTCAAGGCACTAAAATGTAAACAAAAGCTTAAACCATTTTTTGTCGGTTAGATATCTAAAGCTTCGTTTTAACCTAAGTAATATCTCTTTCGTATATCTTTTTTTACTTTTGTTACTATTTTTTCTGCCGAAATTTTTAAATCTGATTAAAATTCTCTACATTTTATGGAGAAAACCGTCGGCACTTTTTTAAACAAAACTACAAATTAAAAGAAACAAAAAAACACATTTCATTGCGTGGCATTGTTAACAAAAGTCATGAGGAAACGAAAGTGAAAGATATCGCGAACAATGCAAAACATATATCTACATACGGGTACATGTGAAGGTCATGTTTAAATAAAAAGTGTTAAAGTGTTTAAAATGTATGTTTTTTAGAAATTTTTCGAAAGCTTCTTTTTCCCTTATACACGGCGGAAGAAGACATTTTAAAATGAGCCTAAGCTAAAATTGGTTTAAAAAACTTTTCAAAAGAAAATATTTTTTTTCCATTTTCTAAAGAATTAAATTTGTAAAACGATTTGATTTTATGACGAAATACTTTTAAGATTTGAAAATTGTTCCCTTTCAATTTTATGAAACCTTGTTTTTACAAGACAATAATCCTGCTTTTGTTATGTCATGTTTTTATTAAGTTTTTCAAAAACATCTTTAAAAATAATTTTAAGAATATCATTTTCATTAAATTTTATAAATATGTTGTGTAATTTAAAACTATTATATGCTGGGTAACCCACCGTAACCGGTAAAGTATTTACAATAATTATATCCCATACCATAATAATAATAATGATAATGCTCTGTACTATTGTAAGTAAGGGCATAAGAAGTTCGATGTATCGATGTATGTTTGGGATAAGCCCAGAAGTTGATTTTATGCTGCCTGCCCATCGGCCTATATAAAGCCTGTTTCTCGATCGATCGCAATTTTCGATGCGAAATTTAGTAAACTGATATATTTTCGTTCAAGCTTAAGCTCTGTTTGAAAGGATGCTTTTAGCGACCAGCCTCAATCAATGGGGAAAATTTAAACACAATAATATAATTATTACATCACTATCGATGTAAAAAATAATACTTTAGGTAGAGGCTTTTAGAATATTATGATTTCATACCACTACCTATACAAAAAAAAATTATATTTTAGGTAGAAGGTTTTAGAAATTTATGACGAAAAAAAGTAAAGATTAGGCGAAATGATATAGAATTTCTAATTATCGGCCTTACCCAAATGTTACTGTTACTCTTTTATTCATCGCTAGTAAACAAAGTCACAATACACATGTAAAGGGTGGCAGTAAATACAAATTGAAGTCTGAATGGACTTTACATTGAAAGAAAAGGAAGCCCACAGCCCCCGCAAAAAATTAACAAAGTTGTGCCATTGATTCCTATTCTTCGTAGTGCTCTCAACGTTGATCTTGACCCTAATTAAACTAAACTAAACTTAACTAAATGTTCAGATCGAGTTAAATTACGCGAATGTCATAAACTACATTCAAAGTATTTTCTCTTCTTTTCTCTGGCTTTCTCTTCTTATAGCATCGTAGACAATATTTATAAATTAATTTTATAAATTTGTTTTGCTAATTAAGTATAATATATAAAAAACCAAAAAGATGTTAATAGTTTCGTTAATTATAGACAAGTCAGCTAATCGGCCGAGACTGTATTTGCGTCGCGTTTCTAGATACTCCTGCTAACTGGTGTTGCGCGAACACTAATTTGCGGTTTAATATTGATAAAGGATTAAGCAATAACGTGTGACCTTGCGAACGGACCAACTCAACTTTTGCTACATGTGAGCTCAGAATACATCTGTCGAGGACATGCTTAAATTAAAACGAAAACTGATGTCGCTGATAAAGGCACAACTGATAACGCCTGACGCGTATACATGGATGTACCGAATGGTGCAACTGAGATAGTATATGTTAAGCTTTGAAAGGGCGTTTTCTATGTAAAAGAAAGAAGTTCGCCAAAAAACTTGGCAAACGTTTATGCATTCGCCAATTTGTCGTAAATTATTCTTGCTGATCAAAATATACATATGTCTAAAAAAACTTTTGTCGGCATAGTAACGTTAACATCGTAGAACTTCCATGGAAAAGTCTTCAAAAAAAAGATCAAGAACAGCTTTCTTTCTCATCTATATTACTTAGCATTCGATTGAGAATAGATTTTTTTCTTAACACGTAAAGAAATTATTTTTGAATTGAATCGAGTCTTGTTTACCGCTGACGGCCAAAGTTATTATGATTTTAAGAGTTTGCATATCTAACGGTTTTCATAAATGGATTTAACTATGGATCCTTGCCCTGGTCAAAATTGATACATAAATGACACACCACCCATTTTGGTCAAGGAACTGTGATTGGATTTACCGAAAAATCCCTAAAGTCATATGCTTTTCAAATGCGTTACTTAAACTTTAACCAGGAATTGTGTAAACGAAAAACGAACATTATTTGAATGTAACACGACATTGGTATAAAGGTACTTGTAAGGATTATGGGCAACCAACTTTTGATTTTTTAATCTCTGCATTAGTGATTCGACACTCTCTCATCAGAAACTGAGCTTGTTGTGTCACCTATGTAGGGACAGTAAATCCAATGCAGGTTAATAACGCAATTATCGACAGAAGCGATTTTAATAAATATTTCTTCTCAAGATGAAATGCGTGTTTTGGTTTTTTTTTCCTTATTTCTATTACCCGCCGCGACAAATGCATTCAAGCATACTTATAATCTTCAGACATATCAAGGCTTACATAAAACATATGCTGATTAACAACGTTACCGTCGCAAATTATTATTCATCCCCTGAAACTCATATCATTCGCTAACCGAACTATTGCCTTGACTTAATCCTGTTCGACTTTGAGCTACCGTCGAAACCTAAAAAATCGATATGAAGACTACACTTTGACTTGAATAAAGAGATAAAGTCGAATCGAAATGAACGCACATTTAAATAAAAGCGAAAAAACGTAACTGATTATTCACTGAAGTTATTGGCATAGTGAGGCTACTTACATGGATAAGCTAACGATAGCGATTTAAATGGAAAAGGTCCAGTGTCTATCTATCCATCTAATGATAACTATTTTGTTTGTTAGATGACCATTTCATTATTAACTGAAGGACAAATCCGGCATATATTTCACCCTTTAAAGAAGAGTTTATCGTTAGCTGATCAGCTGATACGGAACTATAGCAAGCATAAATATCTGATGTGATTGTTATTTCAAGAAAAACGCTATCCATTGATTAACACAAATTAAATGCACAAATTAAATCCGATATGCAGACAAATCTCTGATATTCACTTTTGTTAAGACATATAATTTATTTTATATGCATTTTCCTGTCCGCATTATACTCTTCCCGATTCGTTTACTGTTTTTTAAATAATTAGCAACAATTGTAGAAAATGAGGATAATAGATCAACTGTCCAATCATTTGTTTATTCTATTTATTCTTGAATGGAAAATTGCACAAAACAAAAGCATGTGCATGCATGCTCCTATCTATCTATAGAGAATGTGTACACATATGGTTTTTATTACCTGTAATTTGGACCATTGTATGCGACCTATGCAACGAGAAGAATTGCGCCAGGCTAATTTAGCGCCATAAATCAATTCAGTTTCAGTGAGTTGATAATGGCCGGTGCTTTCTATGCTTTGACGCACTTGCTTCCAACGTGCCTCGTGAGCAGCACTTGAGGACCTATGCAGGCATACAAATGAAAATCATACAAGCAGCAATCGAATGAAACATTAATTATCGCCATCAATTTTTGGGTAAATTAACACTACTTTGCTATTTTGTGGTTTGCAATTGCAGTCGCTGCTAACAAGGCTTACCGTTTAATTGACGTAAAATATTGGTCGAGAAAATCTTTCGCATGCTCTAACACCACATCTGATTTACGTGCTTCAACTGGTGCGGTACCAAAGTTCATAACACTGCTCATGCATGTTGATTTCGAGCAAGAAAGTATCTGTAAATGTAAAAAATATAAAATATTATGTAAACAATAATAATGAAATTCATATAAAAATTAGAAATACAAGCTAGTAAAAGCATTATAGTGTGACACAACCCGCTATTAGATACACTTCGCCTAAAAAAGTTATTATATAAGGAATTTTCAAAGTAAGGCCTTATATTGGGAATGGTCGAAAAAGTGGTCCGATCCGAACCGATTTTCTATGACGTACGTCCTTGAGCCTAAACTGTGCATTGAACGCAAGCAAACAAGAAGGACAAACGGACAGACATGTATACGTCGATTCAGAAACTGCCTTATTTGCTAATTGTATTGCATGCGAATACATATTAGAGGCTCCGCAAATAGCAAGTATTCTTGCTCAGGACGAATTTTGTCTCCAATTTAGTCATATCTGCTCATCTGCCTGTTTGTTGAAGTCATGGTTAACATCTCAATATTAAGCCTAATTTTATATCCCTTTTTACACATCTTACACCCACACAGATGCACACAATCACATCACTTGTTGATAAGGGTGTATTGACTTTGTGCAAATCCATACAACTTTTCGCAATTTAAGAATGAACCACCTTTGATATAACTCAAAACAAAAGCTATGTCCTCTACATAACGATATACACATATTTTAATCCAACCTATTTTATAAGTACCAACTTATCCAACAGTGCAATGTTGTTGTGTATGCGAGCACATAATTTCCTTAGACAGATATATATTTGTATTGTATATGCACAAACACAAGACCCAAAACTGACCGAACCTTGTTTTACGAAAAAAATCAGAATTCATTCTTAGAAAAGTTCATGGGTTTAAAACTATGCCTCTAAGAAAATTTGAAGTCTTTACGAATGAATTGTTTGTGTAAAAGAAGTGAAAGCATTATGTTCGGCCAAAGTCGACCATTAAATAACTTAAATCACTTTACGTAATACAATATTGTATTTCCTTACACCCGACAGACTCCACAATCTAAATCTATTTTGTCTAAATTTGATAAGGTCGTTACGTCAAAAATTTCGTTCTGTACAATAAATACAAAACTATATGGACAGATGTCAGACAGTTGGGGGGACAGGTAGACACGCAAGCTTAAATCGTTTGGCAAAATAATTGTGAATCATCCTTCGGTATACTAAACGGTGAAGACATTTTAAGATGCATAGACCCGCACAAACATAATGAGCGTTGTGTTACGAATAAGGTAACGAAATAGAAATTGGATCTTACTCCAACGCTGTAGAATACAGGAGGGGTACATAAATATATACACAATACACCACTTGTGACACTAGTCAGTGCATTAGCTTGAAAAAGACCCACTGCGTACTAGAAAAATCGTTTCAAAGCCATTTTCCGGCCAATTAATCATGTTTATCCGTCTGTATCTCCGTTTACCTGATGTCCGGCTGTTTAACCTTCAGTCCGAAATTTCATTAAAAAATTGCTTTGGCTAAAGGATAAAAACTATTGATAATAGAGTGATTTGAACGATATGTGCTCGACCTTATATAAATAATTTTTCGCTTGTAATGATTTTCGTTAGTCGAAAGTAGTATCTTTACCTAATTAAGGAATGTATAAAATTTTAGAGATCATTTTCTAAACTTCTTACTTCGTTGGGAAAGAAGATTATCATGTGATAAAAAGTCTTCACTTTCAGTATTTTATGATACTGAAGAATTTATCCAAATAATAATCTAATACACGATTCTAATCGTCTATGTCAGGGCAATATTAGATCTAACATTCACATTTCCCTCATGAAAAAGTCCTTATAAAAGTATAACTTACGGATATTTCATGACGAGTATAAATAAAAAATTTTATTAGACAAAATTTTATGGGGTATTTATCTATCGGCCTTGGCCGACTATAAAGTTTTAATTTGTTTTATTCGTATAATTTTGTAGAAAAAAGTAAATCGGAAACGGATGTTAGTTATACAACAAGTGAGAAAACACTTAACAATTTCTTGAGGAAATGAATAAAATCTGCATAAAAATTAAAGTAAAAATCTTAGGAAAACAACAATTGCAAGAATGTTAGAAAATTGCATGAAACTATTTTGGTCCATTTTCTGGGATAATTTTGCAATTCATAAGCATGAAAATGAAATTTCATACATTTTCAAATGCAAATGATTTATGGAACGAGTAAAAAGTTAAAATAATCAACAATTGTAAAAATGGAAATTTTTTCTTCTCCTACTTTTTCTTTTTCTTTTATTTACATATTAATTATTAAATTAAAATTTGTTTATTAAATTTTACGAAAATTCAACTTTTACTTTATCGCTATTGAGATATTTTTCCTCTCTGACCGTTGGGTAATTTTTAATAAGATTTCTAATAAATCCGTTAATCTACTAAACTAATATAATTGACTTAACTTTCTTTTACTTGCACGTATTGCACAATAGTTTGTTCTATACGTTGTTACAGATGTTGTTGTTGTCCTTCTTCTTTTATATATTTACTTACAGTAACTTCACGCGCCATCGTTACCATTTAAATTCTCTGTTATTCCATTGTAACATCATCATCATTATCATCATCATGGTCTACCTTTAACACTTACCAGTCCGTGGAAGAGTTCGCATGTTTGTAAATTTTCATTTTTATCGGTAATGTCGTTGCGATTGTCAGCAATTTAATCGCAGTTATCTGGCAATTACGCCCGTAAACTGACAACCGCAACCACATTTATAAGAGAATTAATTTTTCCCTTTTTTGCTACGACGAAGAAACATTGTATGCAAAGTCAATTAAGATATCATTGTCTATCTACGTCCAATAATGCTAAAGAGCTCAATAAAAATTTCCATGGAATTTTTTAGTCATAAGTTCATCAATTCTTGAACTTTAACAACGTTATCGCTGTTATTTAAATAGTTGTGTGCGCTTGCATCTGACAAATTTTATTTTCAAAAATTAAAGGTTGCAGGACTTTTGGCTTTAAATTTACGACTTATTATTTAAGAATTATTGACTCTTAAATCATCATGAGTTGTTTCACCTTTAATTTTGTTCTTTTTTTATTCTTTTTTCTTCCTACAAAGGTTCTCTCATTGCAAATGGTTTTACGAAGCAACGCAGCAAGCGCGGTTCACTAATGTATTCAACGTATTTTCTACAGATGCAAATAACTTTTACCTCTGCCATCCATCATCAACGGCTGAAATCATTTCATTCTCAATATTCGAGATATATTTTTGATACTTTTATGTCTATTTTCATAATTGTTGCGGGATTGTGCAAAATTGTGGCAAATTTTTGAAAATTAAAATTTCCACTTACTAAGTTCGTAAATTGGATTGTATGCGCCCAGCAAACCTCCTACTAACTTGTATACTCAACAAATTTTCTATTCACTCACCTATCATTTCATCGAACTATACATTCGATCTAAGTTACCCAAATAGTATCAAGGTTGCCGGCGACTCGGTTTTACCGATTTAATATTCATAGGTAAGATTATTCATACCCGCACTCCGTAATGTTTGTACAAAGCGCTACTACTTTTCAAATCCAAACGTACAATGCCTGACCGCAAGGAAAAAAGGATTCCCAAGGAAAAAGGATCATCACTCACTAGTATGGCGAATATTAGCCGGCATGAGCTGGCAATCGGAATTAGGTCTTTTCACAATATGTCTTAGAAATTTTGTGAACTTCTATTAACTGTCATTGTTAATTTTTGCTTTTTATTTACTAATTAATGTTAATTAGAGAAAAGTATATTTATAAAAGTGCCTCAACCTATACCACAGTATGATTTTAAATGCCACTACCAATTCAATACATTATTCTTGTCAACTTCATTTATCGCTTCAATTCATTTATTACAATGTTCATCAGACCATCAGCAACACCATCAAATCTGAACGATATAACTCATAAGTCATTAAGTCAAACATACATATGTTATCCTTATTTACCAAGTAGTGATAAACATAAATTAAACACAAAATTTAGTAAAAGTATTTGCCATATATATGCATATATAATTGCTTGAAACGTCAAATACTCCATTGTTGCCTTCAAAGTCAATGCATTAATTTATTAATCGTTGATTATTTAAAACTTTCAAAAAAAAAATAATACTCTTAAGGATCAGTACTTTACCCAATACCTTGCAATTGCCAGCATTGGCAAAAATTAGCAAAATATGATATCATCAGAAAATTGAAAATCAAATAATGTTTTCAACTCCTCCTCTTTGCCATTCTAACGACGTTCCTTTATTTAATTTTTTGATATCTACTTTTACTATACATTACTTAACTTGTAGTACTTTTTATGCCAATTTACGTAATTGCCAGAACAACTTACGATGGACGTATCCTCTAGTATAGTGAATAATTCCGAATCACTTTCTGAGTTAATTTAAGCTTCTTTGTCCGTCCACTCATCTGTGAGATCCGGGTACGTAATTTTGTATTCAGACTACGGATCGCAATTTTTAAGATATTTTGACGGAGTTGAGTATATTGAAGAGTTTCGGTCCAAGCTTCATTGCTCACGGGCCACGCCTTATATGAATTAATTAATTAGGCAAAATGGTGTAGAATATTTAATGCCCGACTGTATGGTTTTCTTTGCTTCTAATTCTGTATTATACCCACCACTGAAAGATGGGGGTATAATCACCTTGTTTTTTTTTTTCACAATGTAGGTAAACACTCAAAAGGAAGCTGCTTGATCATCATGAAATTCTGAATTGATTAAACCATCTCTGTCTCGCCCGTCTAGGTGGTGTTTGTTGTTGGCAGTCTCCTGGTCGCAAAAATGACGATATCAATTTAAAATTTGATGGAAATATTGGAAATTGTCGCACACAGGTTGGTATTGAAAATGGACCAAATTGCCCGCAGTGGAGTGTAAACTGAAAGCAACTCCATTTGTTTGAAAAAAAATCTGTAGGCTTTTGCTCGTTACTGGGAGGTTAGAAACAATCGGTCACGCCCACATAAAGTTACGAGTAATTAA